AACTAGTAATTATAGAGAATGTGTTGATATTGTTTAAAGTTGCAGTGGAATTAGCCTCCATTACTGTAGGCCACTGAAGTGGAGAGGGAGCCACATGTGTATAACATTGCAGAGGACTGGATAGGAGTGTCAGGTAAGAAGCCACTCCAGGTTTGGAAACTGCTGTTGCCACAAGTATCGTGTTTTGGAATGTGGAACCTGGCTGGTGTTGCCAGTGTGAGGGGCTGCTATGGATTTGTACGCAGGTTACCTGCACTGGTGTAAAAATAAAAACAGTGACTCTGCCCTACAAATCTTATTTGTACGAATCATGTCATACCACTTCCATAGCCTGATCGTAAGAGTGTCTGGAGATTCAGTGTGTGGTGTGTGTGTGTGTAATAGAAAATCCAGTTCACATTCTGACTCTAGCTGGTTCCTTAATGGAAAAAAAGTTCTATCTTTCTGAATGCTAGAGAAACAATATCTTCTATAAGAGGGTACAGAGATATTCAGGTATGTAGAAAAACATGTATATGTAAAGCAATTGGCAAGTGCCCCAGTATATCATAAATAACAGAATTATTTCTCTTTCCACCTCATCATCGTGTAACAATGTATAAACACCTATGATGGGACAGAATTGCACAGGGTGGATGTGAACAGTTGTAAAGTTCTGTCTCAAAGTGATAGCACCCATCTTTTCCCCTGTGATTATAAGGAAGGTCTGCATAGACACTAGACTAGGTGAGATCCCTTTGTCTTAAACAGTATAATGTGTTTTCTCAAAGGCTTGCCTTAAACAGACTACTACAGGATATTTACTGACTGTTTAATAAGATGACCTCAGATTACTTTTGGTAGTGTTTACCGTGATCCCTAGTTAGCAAGTCCATGAATTTGAGTTTTCCTCTTGAGTAAAGGAATCTCAACTGATGAGAGCTTCAAGACTAACAGTATAACATAGAATCTCAAGAAGGTACTGGTTCTTTCTGTTTATTTGTGATAGTGAGGAGTTTTAGGAAGAACATCCATGAATTCATCCTTAAAGGCTGCTTGGGCCGGGCGGTGGTTGCGCACGCCTTTAATCCCAGCACTCGGGAGGCAGAGCCAGGCGGATCTTTGTGAGTTCGAGGCCAGCCTGGTCTACAGAGCGGGATCCAGGAAAGGCGCAAAGCTACACAGAGAAACCCTGTCTCGAAAAAACAAAAAAAACAAAAAAACAAAAAAAAAAAAAAAAAAAAAGGCTGCTTGGACTTGTCTGTACTGATTAGATACTCTTCCCCATCTCTGAACAGGGACCCCTTCATAGTACATACTTTGCCCTACCAGGCATCCACTATGCTCGTGTACTTGTGTGCCTTGCAGAGACCTCAGGGAGTTTAGAAATTGTGCTTACTTACCTTATCCCCCATGCATACTTCGTGCCTGGAAAGAATTACTCTGTAAATATTTGTTCAGTGACTGAGCATCATGACTATAGGTCAACCCTCACTAGAGTCATTCCACAGTGATTAGGCTAGGAGGAGAGAAGGTAGGGAATGGTTAAGTAGAGTAGAAATGATAGGTTTTCATTGTTTAAAGAGGGACCAACCCACTTTGTTCTTAGAATTCAACAACATATTTCAAGTCTACATTTAATTATATTTGATGAATAAATTAATGAAAAGATAAGTCCTCATTTAAAAAATTTTAAATTACATCTTTTTTTTTTTAAAATGGGGGAAATGCTTAGCATGTGTATGGAGGTCAGAGAAAAGCATGCAGGAGTCGGTTCTCTCCTTCCATGTGAGTTCTGGGGAGGTAGTCATGCTTAGCAGCAAGTACCTTTACCTACTGAGACATCTCAATGAACCAAGTCCCCTATTTTAACCTTAGTCCTAGAATATCAAAGGTACAAGATTTTGATTGTCTGGAACTGAGGTGCTCAGTAGCAATTTCTCTTCTGAGCTAGGCTTCATGGAATCTGGTTAGCTGCCCTTAGAACTTAGGTAGGTGTCAAGAGAAGCTAAATTTGACCTGAGTCCCTCTGTTGCCATTGTGTTCCATTGCTATTGCACCTGACATCCCTTGCTGTATCTTCTGTTTTGATATGCTGGTGTCTCCTATCTCCGGGACTTACTGTGCTCCCTTGCTGCTATAAGGAGATGCTTGATCATGAAGTTCTCTGTTGGAAGATTTGAACTCACTCCTTCTCTTAATCACAGATAGCATATGTCACTAGTTGTCCCTGTTTAGTTCAGGACGGAGAGGTGAAGCTCTGCCATGCTCTAACCTGCAACCCTTTTCCAACTGTGTTGGCTTTTGGTAACCCTTCTAGTATCTGAACCAGCCTCAGGGGTTTGTTTTGTTTTATTTCATGTTGATATATTTAAAACTTTTTTTGTTGCTAATAAAAATTTGCCTGTGAGAAAACAGTTCCTTAAAGTATTTAGAGTTCATACTTAAATATTAATGTGCAATGTTTAGAAAACAGTTGAATGAAGTAGCTATTTCAGTTGTTTAAAATAGCGGATCACAGTCAGAAAGGATTCTTCAAATTTGCAAAACACAACACCATCTCCTTCAATTCTTTGTATTTAACATTTTTGTAGAGCAAAAAATATCCATAAAACTGTGTCTAATGGGACTGGTGAGATGGCTCAGTGTGGAAGGTTCTGGTCATGCAAGTTTAGTGATCTGAATTGGATCCAGCTTGACCTTGGAGAGATCCAACTCCAAGAAGCCGTTTTCTGACCTCCACAAATGCTGTGGCATGCATACCCACACATGTACATACGTGCACATGCATGTGTACACACTAATTAAAAATGAATAAGATGATCAGTACTGTAGTTTCACTAGAAGAGGTTAGGCACTGGGGATATAGCTCAGTTAATAATAGAGGGCTTCTTACTATGCACAGAGCCCTTAGTTCAGTCCCACCATCACATAAACTGGGCATGCTGTCATCTCAGCACTCAAGAGGTGGAGACAGGGTCATCCTTGGCTACATTACATGATGAATTTGGGACCTGTCATGGCTGTATGAGACCGTGTCTGCAAAACAACAGAATATGAGTGGGTGCTGTTACTCTAGTCAGTGTGAAGGTGGAAGACTCTGTGTGTGTGTGTGTGTGTGTGTGTGTGTGTGTGTGTGTGTGTGTGTGTGTGTGTGTGTGTTTCCTTTTGGAAATAAATACATGGTAAATAATAGTCCAAGTAAAATATTTAATTAGAATTTGAGTATCTCTGTCTCTACTTTTTTGCTCAGCTGGTGTTCTTGATGGAAGGAGAGATGATCAAAAGGAACAGATGATTTAAATGATTAACTTCCAGTTGTGACAGACACATTATTGTATATTTTTAAATATGTATGAGTTCCTTGCGTGCAAATGTCTCTGCACCGTGTTCAGAGGGCATTGGATCTCCTAGAATCGGAGTTACAGACAATTGTCACTGCTGGGAACTGCCTTGGTCTTTGCAAAAGCAGCAAATGCTTTGAACTGCTGAGCATCTCTCCAGCCCCAATATTCTTTGCTTTCTTAGTACAATGATAGAGATGGTAGGATGTGAGGTAGTTGATTTTGCCTTAAGAAAAAGGTAAGTATTAGAAGGAATTATGAGAGATGGTCTATTCTTCACATTTGAAGAATTCTTCTGAGCTGTCTAAAGAGATGATATCTACTAAGAGGCTTGGGTCTTAGGCACTTTAGAGTCCAAGTCAATGAAAGGTTGCTTTAGAATTTTTTTCCTCTCTTTTGATTTTTTCCTCTTTTTTTTTTTTTTGCTTTAGAATTTTTTACAGAGTTTTTAATATGAAGCATATGGTTTTAAAAATACTTTTGATAGATTTACTGAACAGATTAATGTAGTTTGACAACAAGCCCAGACCTAAGGGCTACAAGCTCAGTGATGTTCAGATTACAGTAAGCACATTCCAAGTTCTTTCTGTTTGGGTCATCATTTAACTTGGAGAATTCAAAGTTGAAGTAGATCACATATGGACTGATCATGCTGTTCCAGGAAGAGTTTATATTGACATGGGAATAGTACTGTGTATTCATTTTGGCTCTACTGTGACTTAACTTTTTCCAGACTTAAATTTTAGTTTAATCCTAGAAGAAAGGAGACTAAAATCTGTGGACTAGGACTCCATTTTCAGAATGCACTTTTTTGTTTTCAGATAGGGTCTCACAGTATAGCTCTGGCTGTCCTGGAACATGCTGACCTTAAACTCAGAAATCAACCTGCCACTGCCTCCAGAGGATTATTTGTTTGTTGGTATTGTTTTGAATTATGTGTATGTGTGTGCTTATGCGTACGTATATGCATGTCAGGGCAAAGGCTTGGATCCCTTGCAGCTGGAGTTACAGGTGTTTGTGAGCTGCATGATGTGGGTGCTAGGAATTGAACCTGGGTCTTCTGCAAGTGAAACAGGCCATCTCTCCAGCCCAGAATATACTTTTCTTAACTCCTATCTAATAGGAAAAATCCAAGGCCAAAGACTTAATCTAATGTACATTTTTGTGGTTTTTTTTAATCTCTTTTTTGGGGGGATGTTTGATTTTGATCCTTGAGCAGAGGATTAAAAAAAAACTTAATTTTAGAAGTATTTTTGTATTTTCTCCTTTTCCACTGGGATTATGAAGGTTTTTCTGGCATCTTCCCCTACTTTATTGTGGGAGAAACAGGGGGGAGGCCAGCTTTCCCAGATCGTTAGGAAGGGAAACGATTTAATGGCGGAATTACATGACTGGCTTTGTTTCTGTGGGTCCGACTTTAAGTTAAATGATACTCTCTATTTGGGTGTTTTCGTTATTAGAAATCGTGAAATGGAGGTCAAACCTCAGAGCTAAGTGACTTTTACCTGACCAAAAAGACTTGAAATAGAGAATCAGTGCCTCTCCAAGTGTATTTTTGCTATGTCAGTTAATTAAATATGATCGGTTGACATCATCCTGAGGTATGAGAAGAAAAATGGTAAGACTTTTCTGTAAATAAATGAGTTAAATTTGTACTGCTTCACTCTTTGTTGGCAGGACTTTGTGTCATTGTATCAGGATTTCGAAAACTTCTATACAAGAAACCTCTACATGAGGATAAGAGACAACTGGAATCGACCTATCTGTAGTGTGCCTGGAGCCAGGGTGGATATCATGGAGAGAAAGTCCCATGACTACAACTGGTCGTTCAAGTGAGTCATGTTTACAAGTTATTTCTTAGCAACAAAAGAGTATGATTATTCTCTCAAAGCAAAAGCAGCAGCTGAAGATACAGTATGATTACTTTCCTGGCAATACTGTTCATTGTTCTTGGAATATTTTTTGGAGGGAGTGCTGGGATTTAAATCCAGGCTCTCAGATATGCTAGGCTGGGCAAGCACTGTACCAGTGGGCTACACCTACAACCCTCATTGAAATTTAAGATCTTTTTTTCCTGTTTCATTTGATTCATTTGTTTTTGTTTTGATGTTTGGTTTCTTCCCCCTTTTTTGGTTTTTTGAGACAGGATTTCCCTGTGTAGCCCTGGCTGTCCTGCAGATAGGCTGGCCTCAAACTCAGAGATTCACCTGCCTCTGCCTGCTGGGTGCTAGGATTAAGGCCTGCGCTGTTGCCACCGCCACCACCACTGCCCAGCATTGTTTGTTTTTTTGAAACAGGATCTCACTATGTAGCTCTGGCTGTCCTGGAATTCACTTTGTAGACCAGGTTGTTGTCAAACTCACTTTTTAATAAACAAAAATGGGATCATATGTTATGAATTATTCTTTGCTCTTTTTATTTGCTAACATACTGGCTACATCTTACCTATGTGTATATCCACTGTAAGTTCATTGTTTGTAGTGACTAATGGTATTCTACAGTGTAGGCGTGCCATCCCTATCCGTCTTATGCTAGTAAGTCCCAGATCCTAGGCACTTAAAGCTTCAGCACTTCCTTCTACCTTGGGTTGATGGGGAACCATCAGTCATCTGGACCACGATGTCCTTACTGACTGAGCTTCCATCATAGGGGGATATCACTGGGCCCTGGGCCTATGGAAGGGAAGGACAGTGGGTCTTAAAGGATCCTCATGTGTGCGTGCTCACATGTGGGATTGCTGAATCAGAACATGTGTAACTTTTAGGGAATAAGTAGTACCAAGTTGCCCTCCAGAAGAAAATATTGAATGAAGCCTAGTTTATTACAATGTTCTAAGCCAATATTGGCTATCACACTTTAAAATTTTAGCGCTGTTGCCTGGTGGTGGTGGCATACACCTTTAATCCCAGCACTTGGGAGGTAGAGGCAGGCAGATCTCTGTGAGTTCGAGGCCAGCCTGGTCTACAGAGTAAGTTCCAGAACAGCCGGGACTGTTACACAGAGAAACTCTGTCTGACAAAAGCAGAAACAAAAAACATATTATATCACTGTAACTATATATCACTATATATAGCTTTTTTTTAAAGATAATGTTTACTCTGACAGTTTCATACATGTGCACAGTGCACATTGGATTTTGTTAGTGGTGAGTTTGTGCTGCTTCAGATAGCATTGTCTCTGTTTCTGTGTATGGTGCTTTTCTGTTACCAGTGTATGTCACACTTAAGTGTTAGGCATGCTTTGAGTATCATTAAGTTCTATGCTATTGAAACACAGGTACACAGGGAATATAATTAAAGGTGTTATAAACATGGGTTCCTACAACTACCTTGGATTTGCGAGGAACACTGGATCATGTCAGGAAGCAGCTGCTGAAGTTCTGAAGGAGTATGGAGCTGGAGTGTGCAGCACTCGGCAGGAGATTGGTAAGTGTGAGCTCAAGGGTGAGTAATATAGGTACAGTGCTAGTATAAGAACTACACAAACATTTGCTTTTTGCCTTAGGTCAGGTCTAATACACACTTTCTTTTCCTCAAGTGATGGCTAATGTTAATGTTAATGTTAACCGTTTTGAGATGGTTTCCAATGTGTTACATGTACATATGTCCATAGCAAATTTTTGTATTTGTTTCATTTATGACTTTGTTGGATTTTATTGATTTCGTAAATCTTAGAAATGCCACTTATTGTTGTCCTTTTTAAAATTGTTGCTGCCTTTTAAGCCATGGCTGTCCGAATCAGCAACTGCAACTCCACCCCTACCAGCAAGGACCGTAGCAGGAGCGAATTTTGTTCCCTCAGGCACCAACTCTTTCAAAGCTATGAAGGGAACTCTGTTTTTTTTCGAGACAGGGTTTCTCTGTGTAGTTTTGGTGCCTGTCCTGCATCTCGATCTGTAGACCAGGCTGGCCTTGAACTCACAAAGATCCTCCTGGCTCTGCCTCCCGAGTGCTGGGATTAAAGGCGTGCGCCACCACTGCCTGGTGTTATGAAGGGAACTTAACTAAATCTCTGTCCCTCTAAAGAACTCAAGATTCAAAGGTTAAGGTGGAATTCTGCTCTTTAGAGAGGCTGAATAACAAGTAGCTCTCACCTCTTCTCCTTGCTCAAGTCCTCCAAAAAGCCCTCATGCTTCTCCTGGCCCTTCCTTACAAACCCTTCTCCACCTGCCTCCTCCCTACCACTTCCTGTCACCTAGTTGCTGATGCAGCCTCCTGACTGCAGGTGAATTTTATTTAATCAAATACATCTTTGCATTATTAAACAAATGTCCCAGGGCATAAACAAAAGTAACACACCTTGAAATAATATTCTGCAACAACTTATTGCATGGGAACTCTCAAAGGTAATGTATTTTCATACTGGCAAACTAGGGCTGATAATAATCCTGTAGATATGTTTTGAGAATTAAATAAGCTAATTCATGTAAAGCACTTGGAACAGAATAGATACTCAGTAAATGTAAACTATTGCTACAAATCTGTAAAATGAGAAAGATTAACCATCTTTTTTTAAATTTTTATTTTGTGCATTGGTGTTTTGCCTGCATGTGTGTCTGCATGAGGGTATCGGATCTCTTGGAACTGGAGTTACAGACAGCTGTGAGCTACCGTGTGGGTGCTGGAAATTGAACCCAGGTCCTCTGGAAGAATAGCCAGTGCTCTTTTGTTTGTTTTGTTTTGAGACAGGGTTTCTCTGTAGCTCTGGCTGTCCTGGAACTCTCTCTGTAGACCAGGCTGGCCTCGAACTCAGAGATCTGCCTGCTTCTTTGAGTGCTGGAATTAAATTTGCACACACCATTGTCAGTGCTCTTAACCACTGAACTGCCTCTCCAGCTCCCAGGATTAACAGTCTTCTGGAAAGAAACTTATCTTAATTCGAAGGTGGATTTCAGATTCAGATCTCCCCCCCCCTTTTTTTTTTTAAGAGAACTGCTAACTGTTGAAGTTATAAGTAGCTTTTTTGATATTTAGGAGTAAATTGAATCAACAATTCACTAGGGTTGTCAGGGTCTAGGGACTGGTAGACTTGGGTGGTTTGTGCACAGGGTCCCTGACACAGTTACAGGCAGTGGGACTCAGTGGCTCAAGTCCTGTGAAGCTGCTGCTTCTTAGAGTGACGGGAACTCGGTCACTTCTCCCTGCCCCTGTTTTGGGCTCCTTAGAGCCATGGTGGTCCCAGTGCAGTATGTCTTACCTGGCAGCAGACTTCCTAGAGGAAGCTCCACTTCACATTTGTCAAAGCTAGTCCCTAAGCCAGGCCAGTTTCACGGGCTGTGGGGATGGCACTCCACCTCTCAGTACAAAGAGAAGAAAGGGATTCCCGTCATATTTCGTCTGCCACAGTAACTCACTCAACATACTGCATTTAAAATTAAATAAAGAGAAAGTTAAAAAGAAAACAGAATTATGCATCTTTCATATCCCCTGCTTTATTTATTCAGACTTTTCATACCATATGTACACACTACATACTACAGAACTTTACAACACCATTATATTATTAATAAAGTTTCTTAGGAGACTTCTGTAGCTATTCATGCTTTGATTTTTACCCTCAACTCTCAAATATGAATGTCATTGCTATGGGCCAAGACAATATTCAGCTGCAAATTTCAACTAAAAGTCAATTCTTGAGAGAGCTACAGTATGTTAAACTGTATTTGGTTTCCCCTCTAAATTTTCAGAGGTTCTCTGCTCCACTTCTTTGAGACACTGGAAGGAGGCCAATATGTGCTTTCTTAGCTCCTGTAAGGATCCTTAGATGTCCATTTGTTATGTTTTTTGTTTGTTTGGTTGGTTGGTTGGTTGGTTGGTTGGTTGGTTGATTGGTTGAGCCAGGGTCTTACTATGTAGCTGTTTTGGAACTTACTTTGTAGATCAGGCTGGCCTCAGACTCAGAGATCTGCCTGCCTCTGACTCCTGACTGTAGTTGATTGTGGGTTTTTTTGTTTATTTGTTTGTTTTACTCTTTGCTCTTTGCTCTTTGGGGGCCCGCCACCCACCTCACAAATAAATACATGGAGACTTATTCTTATGAATGTCCGGCCTTAGCTTGGCTTGTTTCTTGCCAGCTTTTCTAACTTAAATTATTTCATTTCTCTTTAACTATGTTTTGCCTCTGGGCTTTTTACCTTTCTCTATTCTATATATCTTTCTTTCCTTCTTACGCCGTGGCTGGTTGTGTGACTGTGTGGCTGACCCCTGGCATCCTCCTCTCCTCCTTTTCTCTATCCTGCCTCCCTAGATTTCTCCTTCTCTTTATCTTCTCTGTCTACCAGCCCCACCTATCCTTTCTCCTGCCTCACTATTGACTGTTCAGCTTTTTATTAGACCATCAGGTGTTTTAGGCAGGCAAAGTAACACAGCTTTACAGAGTTAAACAAATGCAACATAAAAGAATGCAGCACATCTTTGCATCATTAAACAAATGTTCCACAACACATTTAAAGTAATATTAATAATAAATAATATATAAATAATAATTAATAATAAATAATATTAATAACACACATCTTAAAATAATATTCCATAACACCTGACTGTTGAGTGCTGGTATTACAGGTTTGTGCTACCATGCCTGGTTTGACTTTATTCTTTTATTTTGTTTGTCTTTGTTCTTAAAGTGTATGGTTACATGTAGTGTGGACATTTTTTATCTAAAAGTCCTAAGTTTTCACTTATTACAGAATAGCTCAGTAAAGTAAAAAAGGAGCTAGTCCTTTTGCAGTGATTTAGAACATGCTTTGTAGCTATAGCATGTGCACTTTGTTTCTTGGATCCCGTGCCAGTTCAGTGCTGGAGGGGCCTCAGTTGCATCTTCCCCACATTTTCAGTTCTGAGTTTACCAAGCAAGCCCAAGAAGAGGAGCTTTGAGAAGCATGTTCTTTTCTGTAGCTCTCTGTGTACTCTTAGGTATTTCTTTGAAGTAATTCCATCCTGACTCCTGCTTTAGTTTGAACTGATTGCTCTCGGGACTGCTTTACAGTTACATTCTGGTATTTCTTTATTTGGGGGCTGAGAGGGGCCATTTCAGGAATTTTGTTTCCCTTGTGCAGTTGGATTCTTTATTCCCTGTACCTTCCTCTTAGTAACAGATCCCTCATGTAGAGCTCATTGTCTAGTGCCCCCCTGGGTGTGCAGGGGATTGAAATTTGCTATCAGAAACTGTCTTTTATGTTATATATTACTCGACTAGTTGTTCTGGCACTACCACGTTGGAGGTTGAAATAGTGAGATTGTTGCCTCACTGTTCTCTGGACCAGTGGGGCAGTCAAGTATGATGCTGTTATGGTTCCTAGTGTTTTTGTGTAGTTCCTTCTCTCCAAGTTTCTAACCAAAAAGACTTTGTTGTTTAGAAACCCCTGATGGGGATAAATAATATATAAACATGGTTAATAATCCCCAAAGTGCTGACGTATGCCTTTAATCCCAGCACTTGGGAGGCAGAGCCTGGCGGATCTCTGTGAGTTTGAGGCCAACCTGGTCAATAGAGATCCGGGACAGGTACCAAAACTATACAGAGAAACCCTGTCTCAGAAAAAAACAAAACAAAACAAAAATAATCCCCAAAGTATCTAAAGGCATGTACTAAAAAGTCTGCTTGCTGCCTGTGGTCCAGACTTGTTGTTCCCCTTCCTGCAGAAATGGGTTCTGCTGTTGTTTTTCTGGGCGTTTGTTTTGCGTATTCTTAGAAGCCTCAAAAATTTTAATATTTTTAGTTAACATGCAAAATAAATGGGTTTCATTCTTACATTGTAATACATACATCCACACATATACTTGTACATTGCTCATACTTGTGCCCCCCACTACCATCCTCGTTTTCCCCAACTCCTTCCATCTCCTCCTTCCCTCTAAATAGCCCCTATTGTGCTTCCATATGATAAATTCGTTTACATTTAGAGTCTACATGTGAGAAAACATCTTTTCTTTTCTTTCCCTTTTTTTTGAGCTTTTTTCCTAGTTTCTAGTTTCTAAGACCTCTTATTTCTTTTGAGTGTATCAAGAAATTCCAATTATAGCTTGTTATGAATCTTTCTCCCTCACAATCTGTACTGTGTTGGTGTTTGTGTGGATCCTTACAAAATTGAAGACCCATATCCTTTGATTTTATAATACTCTCTTGAATATTTTCTTTGTTCTTGCTTTTGAAAACCATGTACAAACTCTTAGTATTTATCCCCCAATTGTCTTCCTTTCCTGTTTTCTCTCCTTTCCTTTTTGTTCTTTTGTTAGTGAGAAATTGAGTGGGCAGATCTGTCTATAAACTTGCCCTTCCTCACCTTTACAACCTAGCACTGCACACACACACTTCAATATCTGAAGCCCAGAAATTCAGAATAATGTTCTTTTACTATGGGCATGAAAGAAAGCAGAATTACTTGATTGCTTGTGCAGGATTTAGAAGGGACAGTGTGTTACTTTCTATTTCTTGTCTTAAAGGCTTTATTAAGATATAATTTTTATGACATATAATTTGCCCATTTGAAGGGTATACTTCATAGTCTTTTAGAATGTTCACAGAGATGGCAGCTGTCACCACAGTTTAAATTTTAGAATATTTTCATTCCCTCTGATAGAGCTGACTGACCCACCAGCCTTCACTGGCAACCAGTGGTCTACAGTCTTTATTTGCCTCCTTTGGACATTCCATATACATGGAATTATATAACATTGTGGCTTTTTTTTTATTAAGGAATTTTTAAATTCACTTTACATACCAACCACAGATCCCCTTTGTGTGTGACTCCTTTCACTTAGTGTATATTCACAAGATTATCTATGTGTAGTATGCATTCGTACTTCATAGACTGCATCAGCATGCCATTCTACTGTTTGACTAATTAGTAACCCATTGTATATATCACACGTTTATCCATTTATCTCTGATGGATATTTGGTTTATTTCTTCTTTTTGGCTGTAAATATATTTTGGAAATAACATTTTCATTTCTCTTGGGTATGTACTTAGGTGTGGTATTGCTAGATCACGTGGTCATTCTATGATTAGCTTTTTGAGCTGCTTCCCAGAGCAGCTACACTGTTGTATAGTCCCATCAGCAATGAGAGTTTATGGTTTCTGGGAGTTGGGATTAAGAGGTAGGGGTGAGGCATGCTTAAACAGTTTTGCAGCTATATAGCTCAGGATAACCTTGAACTTGTGACCTCATATAAGTGCTGGGATTACAGATATATTCTGCCATCCCTGGCTTTATGTGTTTTATGTATCATGTTTGTAGCCTAACTTTAACCCTTGCTTGCCTTGATCACTGCTGCCTCTCACTTTAAGCCTCTCTGGAGTTCATGCAGTGAGTGTACTCCTCTCTCATCAAATCATCGTCTACTTGGTAAGACATAGCTTTAACCTTTCTCTCTCAAAGCCCAACTCTGTTGGCTTCCTAGGACTACTATAACAAAGAATGAGGAACAGGGAATTGTGGAGGATAGAAGTATGAGATCAAGGTGTTGGCGGGCCAAGTTCACTGACAGCACCTCAGTGTTCCCTAGCCTGTGGTGCCATGGCTGTCTTCCTGTGTGTCAGACATTGTCATCTTCTGTGCTTCCCTGGGTATGTCTATTTGTCCAGGATGTTATTGGCCCAGTCCCATTGACCTTATTTTATCTTGATTATTTTTGTGAAGACTTTCCAAAGTGACTACATTCTGAGGAAAAGGAGTTAGGACTTTGTTTTGTTTTGGCTCTAGAATCTGATTCTGGGCCTTGTACATGCTATGCATCTGTTCTACCACAGAGCTGCCTCTTCAGCCCCTCAGAATATCTTTTTAGTGAAACACAGTTCACCCTTTGACATTACCCATGCTTGTATTTCCCATTTTTCACCAGATATATTACGGATTATTAGTATCCATAAATGGAGTTTTACTTCTTTTCCTTCTAGTGTTTTGGAGTTTGTTTGTGTTGCTTTTCAACAGAAAATATCAATAGAATTTTTGTTTGTTTTATTTTTTGTTTGTCGAGACAGTTTCTCTGTATAGTCATGGCTGTCCTGGAACTCATTCTGTAGACCAGGCTAGCCTCAAACTCAGAAATCTACTTGCCTTTGTCTCCTAAGTGCTGGGATTATAGGCGTGTGCCACCAATGCCCCATTTAATAGAATATTTTAAACTCCACCTTTAAAGTAAGTTTTGTAGCTGAAGCTTGAGAGATCACAGGCTGTTAGATCAGTGGTATAGGCAAGAGAGAGCTACACAGTGATCAGATGTAGTGAACACTGTGCATCTTCACAGCATTGTGAATTTTGTAAAGTACCCGCATATTATCTTGGTCCTTATAACAACATCATAAGATAGATAAGGAAGTATTGTTAGTGTTCAGCAGGTGAAAAACTGGTCTTATGATACATAGCATTCAAGTTCAACAATCTGCTTTTTTCAGTATCCATTCTCTGTGCAAATCATTCAGTCATTAGGGATTTGAAAGCCACTGTGATAGTCACAATACAAACTTAGCAATCATTTGAAAATGAGAATAGGTGCGCTCCACGTGGTTTCAAGTCCATCCAGGACTTGAGGATGGATGGTGTAATGGACACAGATGCACCTTAGCTGGCCAGCAGCGCCACTGATAATTCTACTGTTTAGCTTCTTATCCTCCAGTGTTTACCTCTATCTTCTCTTTACAACAGGCCAGTTAACACTGTTGTGTATGACTGGCGACTTCAAGAATACAGACACAAACTTTGTTAGATCGTTTAGGGCTTAGATCTGAGACTGGAACGTGAAACATGAGTTAGTAGTCCTCCTTTTTCCCCAGAGCTGCTGAATCTGAATGTATCAGCTGTTGTGTTTTTATAGCTGTTGCTATTTATAGTACCAGTCTCTTCATGAACTTATTTGGAAAATGTTACAACACATGGGTTGATTTCTTTTTATTTTTTGAGACAGGGTCTCTCTGTATAACAGCTCTGGCTGTCCTGGAACTCACTTTGTAGACTAGGCTGGCCTTGAACTTACAGAAATCTACCTGCCTCTGCCTCCCAAGTGCTGAGATTAAAGGAGTGCACCACCACCACCCTGCTAAAAATATTTTTATTAACATTTGTATGCATGGATGCACATGTGTGGTATGAGTCAGAGGACACCTCTCAGGAGTTGGTTCTCTTCATCTACCATGTTCATTCCAGGGATTCAACTCAGGTAGTCAGGCTTGGCAGCAAGTGACTTCACCCACTGATCCATCTTGCTGCCCTGTTTTCTCTTAATAAAGTAGTAATTTTAAAATTGAGGATGATACTGATTTTATTAATTGACTTCTCCATGCAGGAAACCTGGACAAGCATGAAGAACTAGAGAAACTGGTAGCAAGGTTCTTGGGCGTGGAAGCTGCTATGACCTATGGCATGGGATTTGCAACAAATTCAATGAACATTCCTGCTCTTGTTGGCAAAGTAAGATGGCGTCATTTGTAGCAATTCTCTTATCCATATGTTCTTTTGTTCTGATAAACATTCAGATCCAGTTGAGTTATTATTAACATTAGACTAAGCACAGTTTACAAAGATAATACTACATCACAGATTTTTGGCAAGTATATCTTGCAGAGCCAATACTGGTTGGAATTTTCCTACTAGAACCCATGGTCCTTCTCTCTTCCTGTACAGTTTTGAAGGAATTCTGATGAAAATAAATGCCAAAAGATTAAAATTATGAAAGAAAGGTTTAATTCAGAAAGTTAATAGTTTTGCTTAAGTGTAAAAATAAGAGTGCATTTACCTTTATACAGGTAAATTATATATAAATGTAACGTGTGTATGTGTGTGTGTGCCTGTATCTATATCTGTGCTTATCTATCCTATGATAGAACTTGTGAGAAAGTAAGGAGAGGTAAAATCCTTCCTTCCTTCCTTCCTTCCTTCCTTCCTTCCTTCCTTCCTTCCTTCCTTCCTTCCTTCCTTCCTTTCACAGGTTTCTCTGTGTAGTTTTGTGCCTTTCCTGGATCTCGCTCTGTAGCCCAGGCTGGCCTCGAACTCACAGAGATCCGCCTGGCTCTGCCTCCCGAGTGCTGGGATTAAAGGCGTGTGCCACCACTGCCCAGCCGTAAAATGCTTTCTAAATGTAGCTGCTCAGCACTGTCAGCTTGAAAAGAACCCTTGAGGTTGTTTTCTCCTTTGTGTGTGTGTGTGTGTGTTTGTTTTACATCTTAGCATGATTGTTTAGAATTGGCACATAGACAGAAGCAGTGGACTACCTCAGACTTGAGTTTTGCTTGTCTGTTGATTATATGGTCAAACCTATCTATAGCTGTGAACATGTCACATTGCTTTTCTGATCCTTAAAGTTTCCTTTGTAAATGGGTTAGTAGTGTAACTCTAATTCCATTATAACTGTATGATTCTGTAAGGAACAGATGGGACAAATAGTAAACAAATTGCAATGTAAGAGATTTAAACCCAATTGTATTGATATTACAAAAATGTAACTAGTTTATTTGCACATTGAAGTTGAAGGTAGACCTTCTCAGATAAGATCAAACTAGTAAGTTTCCTAATATTAAATGAACCTATTTGAAATATAAAGATATGAACATTAAAATTAAAAAGATGACGATGGCACAGCAGCATGCACCTGCCATCCTTACCACTCGAGGGGCTGAAGCAAGAGGACTTCTCAAGCCCAGAGATTTGAGATCAACATTAGAGGTGGGGAGTAGAGGCTGTGTTAAAATAAATAGGTAAAGAATGTCTGGGATGCAGTTCAGTGGCTGAATGCTTGCTTAGCATGTACATGGTCCTGGATTTGATCTCTAGCCTTCAAGGAAAAAGAAAAGATAAAAAAGTTGCAAACTAATGAAAAATTTGAAGTTACTATATTGATATAAACAAATTTCAGACCAAGGAATATTGTGAAGATGAAGAATATGATATAATACAAAAGAGTTGATTAATCAAGATATATTAGGAACTTGATAATAATTTCAAAGTACAGGAAGCAAAAGCTGATGGAACTCAAAGGATTGTGGAGAAACAAAACTGCAGTTAATGATATCAACAATGGGGAGCAGCAAGAATGATATCAACAGGAATCATCATGGGTACAGACCACTGGGGAAACAGTCTCGGTTTGCTAACCTACCAGACACCTACCAAACACTTGCCAACAGTAGCAGAATATTTGCCAGGATACATGGTACTTTAGGGTTTAAATAAGTTTTAATATGTTTGGAAATATTAAAATTATTAAAGTGTGTTCTTTGACCACAGTGCAGTTTAATCAAATCATTCACACAGATTTTGGAAGTTAAAGAAGAAAAAACAAGGCAAAATAAAAAAATAGTCAATGAAATGTAACATCACAAATTACTAAAGCAGTATACACATAGACATATATAATTTTAAACATACTTGGGGTCTTGAGGTTGAGGGTATGTGCCTTCCTCCAGAGTTACATACTCAGTTTATTTTAAATGATTATTTGGGGGCGGGGGGAAGAAAAGCTTCTCTATCTTAAGAAATCATATGAAAGAGGGCTACAGAGATGGTTCATTGGTTAAGAGTACTTGCTGGCTTCTGTTTGATTCCCAGCTCTCACATGGTGTCCCACATCCACCTATAACTCCAGTTCCAGGGACCTACTGTGTTCTTCTGACTCCACGGGCAGCAGGTATGCCTGTGGTACACATATATACATGCGGGCCAAACTCTCATACACGTAAAATAAGTACATCTAAAATTAAAACATTGGAATAAAAGCAAACCACACCCACCTAAGTAAACAGGAAATATACAGTAGCAACAACTACAGAATCAGTGGATTGGGGGGGAAAGCAGTGAAACTGAAGCTGATTCTTTGATACCTGAATAAAACGGCCAAATCTACCTAGACCCATCAGGATAAACAGGAGGCAGGGGTGAAAGAAAGGACGACTTTGTGCATCCTGTGGACTTAAAGGATAAGAAGGAAGTCTTAGGACGCTGTGTGTTCAGCAGCTCGTACAGCATGGACAAATTCTTTGAAAGACTAGTGTGTGTTTCCTTCCATTGACAGCAATACACTGCCATCCTGCATTTTGGCAGCATAAACCTGAAATTCTGACTTGGACTTTCTTAGGGCTTTTGACACTAGAAGATTAATTGACCTCACTTTTCATCTTCCCGTATGCTCGTGAACTCTAGTAAATCATTGTTTAGATTTAGATGTCTCCTGTACTAACATGAAAGAGGGACTACCTTAAAGATCATCTTCCAATCAGAGTGGAAATGGTAGTAACTATTATTTGATCTCTTAAGAATGTTAATTCTTTGTATCCGATCCTGAATCTAAGTTGGTTGTTCAGCTTAAAGGCTGATTGGACTAAAATCAGGAGCTTTGTGTTGAGTCTTTTGTGCCCGCGCTTGCATAAGAATGACTTTGTTTTGTAAATTGAAGATGATAATAGTACCTATTTCATGTATTATAGCAAAATAATGCCTTAAAATTCCTTAACAAACTGTCTAAAGCATATGCACTTAGATGTTGCCTCCTAATATTTCATATCATTTTAGTTTTGAACCAACTATGTAATAGAAGCTCACAGTAGACTACAAGAAAAAAGCCAGACTGATAACCTAAAAAGTTGACTAGAGTGTCTGAAAAACAGCCTTGCAAATTTTGCCTGAAAAATACATTATCTGGAAAGAGAAGGAAATTGAATTATGTGTGTTGGGAGAATTCTTTTAAAGCACACTAGACTAGAGCCGTGTGTGCTCAATACAGACTGGTGGCTTATAAAAGAATGGTCCTACCGCTCTTTAAATCTAGACTTGCACAAGAACTATAGAGGGTACCGAGTCCCTCCATGGCCTTCACTCAGCTTCCCATTGTGATAGCACCTTACTTCCCAGTGCAGCATTTCCCAGAGCCCAGAAGTTAACTGTGACCCAGGACATTGACAGATGCAGATCGCATTTCATGTCTACTGTTAAACATTGCCAGTCTCTGCCCTGACTTCTGTTGAGGCCACATTCATTTAGTTGGGGCTCCCACTCTTTTCCAGTAGACTTCCTGGCTTCCTTGTGCTGCAGCGCTGGCCCTTATTTTATAGAGTGTCTCTTAGCTTGAGTGGTCAGAACTGATGACATTCTCCTCAGTGTGTTGTATAAGGTACATGGTGCCACTATATTTTACTAGTAATATAAATAAACCCTGGTCCCTTGGCTAAGATATCAGGCAAGACTTTCTACTGTAACTTACTACTATTCCTTTTGTAGTTACCAGTTACTGTGGTAGAGAAACTTTGGGACTATGTAAATAGTATTTTTTATTAAACTTTCATATACTACTTTTAGTGTGAATATGCGTAGTCAGTGACAGTTAATTGCTTTGGTATTCTTAGAGTGATTTTTTTTCTCATTCCTTCTGTATTTATTCATTGGAGTTTTGTGGAAGAATTGTTGCTTCTCCTTTATATCAGTATGGATTCTTGTTATTCGTGTAATAATCCAACGTTAGTACCTTTTCTCTTTCTTTTTTCTTTTCTTTTCTTTTTTTTTTTTTTTTTTTTTTTTTTTTTGAGACAAGGTTTCTCTGCGTAGCCCTGGCTGTCCTAGAACTCACTTTGTAGACCAGACTGACCTCGAACTCAGAGATATGCCTGCCTCTGCCTCCCAAGTGCTAGGATTAAAGTCGTGCAGTACTATTCCCAGCTATGAATACCATTATTGCTTAAGTTGTTTTTGTTTGGGCCATTGGGGTTTTTTGAGATGATTTTCACATAGAAATTTGTTTATTCATTTGTTTGTTTATTGTAGTGTCAAGGATCCAACCCAGGGCTTTGTGCATGCTCGGCAAATACTCTCTACCACTGAGCTTTATATCCTCAGCCAACCCCTGTTGAGGCCATTTTTGAAAGACTAAACCCTGTTCCTGTGATTATTTTAGCAGGGTCCCATGAGAGATGGAAGAGTAAGAAGTGAGGGAAAACTAAACCACCAAGAGTGTCAGGCTTTGCTGAGGAGGCTAAACCACAGCCTGCATACTCTGTGACTTGGGGTTTAGAAATAGGTTCTTCCTTGAACTGAGACATGTTAATAGTGAAGGGAAAAGCACTATTCCTACAGCTGCCATTTCTCACAAAAGGATACATCAGAATTCTGTCAAATCAAAGATTCCAGAACCTTTTAAAGACTGCTAGATTTTAGGTGTACATAAGAACATATTGCTGTACATCTGGTTATTTAAACTGACAGGATAAAGAAACTATTCTATGTAGGCTAGGATTCTGCATCTGCTTCTAAAGCATCCTTGAAAACCCGTTATCACCAACATTTGTTAGTATCTCACCTTCTTGTACTCATGATTTTGCAGGGTTGCCTGATTCTGAGTGATGAGCTGAACCATGCATCACTGGTTCTAGGAGCCAGGCTGTCGGGAGCAACCATTCGAATCTTCAAACACAACAGTGAGTTAGCCCTAGGCTTTGCCATTGGCTTTAATGTTTGATATTCTTTGCTACAGTGGTGGTGATTACAAAGTTACATTAATAATTGGAAAGTACAGTGCAGCTAAAGTCCAGTCTTTTAAAAAGACATTTTCTTTAATGAAATAAAAGCAGAATGTGGTGGCATGTGATTGTAATCCTAGCACTTGGGAGGCTGAAGCCGGAGGACTTTTAATTTGAGGTCAGCTTGAGTACGTGTGTATATGTCTATATCTGTCTGTCTATCTGTGGATGAATAGAACATATGGTGACTGGATTCCTTTTTGCAAATTATACTTCCCTTGATTTGACTTTTAAGTTTTCCATTGCACTTCCTTGTTTACAAATCTCTGTTCAAATACATTAACTTGATACCTATAGTGTGTCTTGTCATAACACTAGGAAGAGTAAATAAGATTAGTGAAGAGATGTTGATAGTTAAAGGAACAATTTAAAAAAATACAACAAATGGGACCAAGATACTCAGCGAGTGAAGAGTTAGCCACACAAGCTGGATGACGTGAGCTCAAACCCTAGAACCTGTGTGAGAGAGAACTGATTCCATATAGTTGTCTTATTACCCTATACTCTGCTGTGGTATGGGCCTTCCCCACCTTTCGTCACACACAGCACAAGACACACACAACAACAACCGTGTTTGGGACTAGAAAATAACTCAGTGGAAAGAGTGTGTACAACTTTTACAGAGGACCTGAGTTTAGTTCCCAGTACCCACTTAAGGCTGCTCACAACTACGTGTGAGTCCAGATCTAGGGGATTTGACACCCTCTTCTGACCTCTACAGATACTTGTACTCATGCAAACACTCATAATTAATAATAACAATAAATCTTAAATTTTTTTTTGAAGGTATAACAGACAGTATTTGGGGAAATGGCTCTTTCTGTAAGGTGTCTGCCACACAGGTGTGAACACCTGAGTTCAGATCCCCAGCACTCATATAAAAAGATGGGCATGGCACCTCATGCCTGGAATCTCAGCACTGGGAGGTGGAGACAGGAAGGTCTTTGAGGCTAGCCAGTCTAGCTCAATTGGTGAGCTACAAGTTCGGGAGACACCATGTCTCAAAAAATAAGGTGGAGTATGATTGAGGAAGACACATGACAATCAACCTCTGGCCTCTCCAAATACTACGTGTGCATATGTACCTGCACATGTGTGTGTGTATATACACAGATATATACATACATACCACACACACACATACATACACATGTACAAGAAAAAAAAACAGATACATGTTCTGTACAATAATATACAAAGGTAGTAGGGAATTATGTCTTCAAGCTAAAACTTGTTTCTTAAGTGTAAATACTTTTGTGCACTGTTTTTAAAGTGCATAAATCATAGTTTAAAAAAATTTAAAGTGCACAAATCATAATCTTAAAAAATTATTTTTATAAAAAACTTATAAAAATCAGTTTTCATAATTTAAAACATATAGGGAGAAAGGTCATCCAGCTGTATTCTAAATATCTTCTCTTGCCAAAATATGCATATGTAGATGAAATTGTAGAATAATATATACCAAAATGTTAGGCCTGCACTTTGAGATCTTTGGCAGCAGTTAACTCTGCAGCTCACACACAATTGAGCTTGTATGATAATGAGTATTCAGAGACGGGTAATGCCTGGGGAGCGCTCACCAACCTAAGACAGAGCGCCTGTGTGGCCTGGGCAGGCGTCTCCATGATGGGTAAGGTGACCTGCTGACGTCCCACGCAACCTAAGTCAGAAGCTCATTTTTTAGTAAAAGGGGGACTTGTAGGGCCCTGGCCCCTGTTTTGGGTAACTGTTGCCTTGCTTGCTGACCTTGACCTTGATATCCTCCCTATGCTAATTCCCTCCTGGGTTTCACCCTCCTGAATGCTTAAGTTAGGGAAGTTCCTTGTCTGTGTATCCTGCATAATGGGCATTAACAGCTTAGATGCAAGACTGTAAAACATCTGTAGCGAACTTCTGCCCTCCGGGATTCTCCCATTGTTCTATAAGCCTGTATTTAAGACCTCTTCCCTCCTTCAATAAACAGCATTCGGCATAAATAAATAAATAAATAAATAACATTTTAAAAAAAGAAAAAATGTTTGGCCTGTACCTTTGGAGGGAATGGTTGGATAATAACTTACTTTTTTTTTCTTATGTAAAATGTTCTAACAGTGAGACTGAAACAGTGTTTTGTTGTATGTGATTTCAGACCTTTTAATTGTTGTTGTGAAACTTTTAACCATAAATATTGTGAACCTCTTGTCCATACCTGTGACTATTTCTTATCCTTAAATGTAATGTGTCCAGCTACACCATAACTCGTCAGCTCCTCTGTTTGGACCTTAAATCCTTTTTAGAAACAGCACTACACTCACATATTTACACAATCATCTGATTGCTATCAAGCATCCTCAGAGTGCCCAGTGAAAAAGGGTATACATTTTTTAATACCTCTCCAAATAACAAATGTGACATTGGCTGCTTGTACTCACTGGCCAGCATGGCCTATTATGTATCATTTTAAATCTTTCTAAACCTAATAAGGACACAATATTTTGGGTGTTATTTCTTTCTTTCTTTCTTTCTTTCTTTCTTTCTTTCTTTTTTTTTTTTTTTTTTTTTTTTTTTGGTTTTTCGAGACAGGGTTTCTCTGTAGTTTTGCGCCTTTCCTGGAACTCACTTCGTAGACCAGGCTGGCCTCGAACTCACAGAGATCCGCCTGGCTCTGCCTCCCGAGTGCTGGGATTAAAGGCGTGCGCCACCACCGCCCGGCTAGATATTTCTTTATAAGCTGGTTATTAACAGCTGATGTCTTTATTGATTTTAGGAACTCTTTATATTGTCCTTTTATGTAATACTATTTTTAACTGTCTTGTTATTTTGACTCATCAAAATATCTTTGACTTTTAGATTGTATCTATGGCTTCTTCATTAAAGGGTGTCTGTTCTCATATTTTCCTTTGAGATTTTGTGACATATTTAAAATTTTAATGTACATGGAATTTATGGGGTGTATGATGGAAGAAAGATGGAAAATGTTTTCCTAAGTAGATAATCTGCCCAAGCATTCTTGCTATAGGTAGTTCCCTTTGTCTAAAGTTTGTAGACTTTTTTCACTGTTGTTGCTTGCTTGTTTTTTAAACAGGGCCTTATTATGTAGCCCTGGCTAGCCTGGAACTTACTATATAGCCTAGGCTGTCTTTGAGTTTACGATGGTTCTCCTGTTTCAACCTCCTGTGTACTGAGATTGCAGTCATGCGTGCCACATTCAGCTTTCCTTTTCCTGTTCTCTTCCTTTTGTTAGAATGCTGAAGCACTGCGTACTTCCTGCCTCCTTCCTGTATCTAAACAGGAAACAGCAGCAGGGAGTACAGGCTGACTTGTCTCCTGTCAGGCAGCGGGCTGATTGCTGTGCTGCACACACTGAAAGCTGTGACACAGTTGGTGACCTCTGGTTATCCTGCTGTGTGTTCTTGTCACAATATTACCCTTTCCTATCAAAAGACAATCAGACGAGTATAAGACGGACAGAGCCATGCAGTTTTGACCCCTCTTTCAGTAATGAGCAGTAGAGAAAGAACACAGAATCAAAGCTTATATATAGTGTGGGCTCTCCCGCTAGCATGACATATACCTCAGACTCAATGTTGCTAGGATTTTAGGGAGAAGTTTTTTGAATGTCATTTGAAACAAACATTTTAAGTGTAAAGTCTATAGAGATGGGAACAAGCCGGGCGGTGGTGGCGCACGCCTTTAGTCCCAGCACTCGGCAGGCAGAGCCAGGCGGATCTCTGTGAGTTCGAGGCCAGCCTGGGCTACCAAGTGAGTTCCAGGAAAGGTGCAAAGCTACACAGAGAAACCCTGTCTCGGGGGGGAAAAAAAAAGATAGAGATGGGAACAGTGGAGTTCAAAGCATTTAAGAGGAAAACTATGGTCCTTATTAATGATAGCCCCAAGCTGATGGAGTGGATGTGGAACAGTCTCAACTGATTGGCAAGCTGGCTTAAGCTTAGACTCATGCATGTACCAGACTGGTGTATTTTTAACTAGTACAAAGAGAAGACAGTTTAATAAACAGCTATTGAATGCATCCTGGGTAAAAGAAAATAGATCATGCATTTTGAAATTCATTCTCCGTGTTTACTTTTTTTTTATAAGATGTATTTATTTTATCTTCGTGTTTCCATTTCTTTTAAAGATATATTTATTTTATTTTATGTGTGAGTGTTTTGCCTGCATGTACATGCTTGGTGCTCACAGAGGTCAGAAGAGGGCATTGGATCCCTTAGAACTAGACTTTTGGGTGGTTGTGAATCACCGTGTGGGTACTGGGGATCAAAGCTGGGTCCTCTGCAAGAGCAACAAGTGCTCTAAAACCTTGAGCAGTCTCTCCAGGTCCATGCATATTGGCTTTTTAGGAGGAACATGTATTTGGGGTGATTCACTTACTCTTGCTTGGTCTTTATGTATTTCTTTCTGAATGAATCACTTGGATTAAAGATGTTGTTTGATTTTAAAAACACAAAGAAGCTAAATCAAAGGCAGAGAATTTAACATAAAACAGGCATCATTTTCTATCTAACCAACTAAAGCAATCGATTACCAGTCATTTAATCTTATTGATAGCTTTGAACATTTGTCACATTTAGATGTCAGTTAATGAAGCAATATCTTAATATCTTTTCTGCTCAGCTCTAATTACACTAATGTCCTTTGCTGTCTGAGACACTTCTGAATAAGAAATGTATATTCACGTTTTTCTAATACTGTTAGGAAAAAGATACTTTGGGACTGAATTCACTCTTTGTGCCACAGACATGCAAAGCTTGGAGAAGCTTTTGAAAGATGCCATTGTTTATGGGCAGCCTCGGACAAGAAGGCCCTGGAAGAAAATCCTCATCCTCGTGGAAGGCATATATAGGTACTCACTCTCCTGTGCTTGACTATGGTCTAGGCCTGTAGTTATGTAAGCTGAAGGGCTTGCTAGACTAGTCCGCTCTGGGAACTAAGGAGACCTAGGGCCGAAGATCTTTAAGTCTGTATAGTACACAGCTTCCAGATCCTTCTATTGAGGTTATTTTTCTACTGTTTATGAAAAGCTTACACATGAAAGATTCTAATTTATCAAAAACAAATGTTAACGCTAGATGTGGGGGTACATACCTATAATTCCAGCACTCATGAGGCTGAGACGGTGAACCGTCTGTTTGAGGCCCACCCAGGCCAGGGTACATGGCAAGACCCTAGCACAGTGGTTGCTCTCTTGTCTAGCATATATGAGGCCCTGGGTTCAGTCTCTAGTCCCGCAAAAAAACAAACATCAAAATAAATAAAAATAAGTTACTTTTTTTTATTTTTTTTTTAGATATGTGTTCATGTAGCCCACACTGACCTTAAGTTCCTGATTCTGCCTCTGCCTCTGTCTGTTGGGTCCTGGGATTTACAGGCATATGCCCCCATGCCAGGCTATATTTTATTTTTAAGGTATTTTTCTTTTGTTAATTTGGATAGCCTATCTTAGATTTCTATTGCTGTGATAAAGACCATGACCAAAAGCAACTTGGATATATAAGGCATATTCTAGGCCACAATCCACTGAAGGAATCCTGGGCAGTAAGTCTAGGCATGTATAATGAATACAAAGTCTAATATTGCTTGTAGTTGCAAGCTTTAGAAAACTCTTGTGGGCTGGAGATGTGGCTCAGTGGTTGCTTTCTTAGCATCTGCAAGGCTCCAACTTTAATCCCTAGCTCCACAAAAGCAAACAGAAATAATCTACTGTAACTTTTAATTCTTTTGTTATAATTGGTGAAATACACCAATTATAATGTGGCACTTACTTCTGAGAAGTCAGCCTCCTGTTTCTTGCCAAGTCCATATACCACGTAACTTAGTTTAAAGCCAGAGGTGGACTTTTCAGACTTATTTTGAAAAGCAATAACCTTGAAGCATTAAAAATAAAGTGACCAGTTGCTAATTTTGAGAGTTAAAAAGTCTCAATGTGTGTGTGTCTTTTTTAACCCTGTTTTACCAGCATGGAAGGATCTATTGTTCGCCTTCCTGAAGTGATTGCTCTCAAGAAGAAGTACAAGGCATACTTGTATCTGGATGAGGCACACAGCATTGGGGCCCTTGGCCCTTCAGGGCGAGGTGTGGTAGACTACTTTGGCCTGGATCCCGAGGATGTAGATGTTATGATGGGAACATTCACAAAGAGCTTCGGTGCTTCTGGAGGATACATTGGAGGCAAGAAGGTAAAACAGGCCTTTAGAGTGGCCAATTAGAGATTGAGAAAGGCTGTTACTGTCTGGTAGGTGGGGTCCTAAATTGGGATGTGGGGATCCTGGGTGTGCTTGTGGCTCATGTTCTGCTGCTGGTGGACTTCCTACCTCAGATGCCCAGGGAGGGACTCTGATGTCTCTTGCTGAGCTGAAGCCTGGTTCTGTTCATTGTTTGTTGTTCGCTCATTTGAGCTTCTTTCTAAACTACATTCTGGTCTGAGCTATAGAACACTCTTTTGTAAAAGAGCACACAGTGGTGCTTCCTTTTTGCCACAGTCTTCTGTTGGGTTTGGGTTGTGCTCACACTTTCAAAGGGTTGTCACAGGGGCCAGTGGGAATGATAGATCAGAGTGCACAAACAAGAAGAGGTTTTGTTAGTTCTAATACACTGCAAAGCATCTCTTTCTCAACTTTAAAATTATATATGACCTCTAAGGCAGTTAAGAATCCATGCAAAATCATGGACACTATCTGCATTTGAATGTGTTTTTTTTTTTGTGAAACCTTAGGGAAGGCATTTTTAACTTCTTAGTTTCCTTATCAGTAAAAGTAAATATGGGGGGCTTGTAATGTGGTAATGGTTTAAAAATGATGTGTGCCTATGATACAACACAGGTGCATTTTGCAGACATGTTAACTAAAGTGAATCACGAAAGGTCAGATTATGTGATGGTTTTCTTTTCTTTTTTTGGGTGTGTTTGCTTGTTTTATCTAGAACAGGTATGGAAACAGAATGTAAATGAATTTCTGGGGTTAAGGAGATGGGGAAATGGAAAGTAACTGTTAAATGGATATGACGTTTCCTTGTAGGGTATGAGGATGTTCTAAAATTAGGTAATGGTAAGGGTCGCACCACTCTGACTAAGCCAAAATCCATTGAATTGTACACTTTGCAAAAGTGACTATGGTAGAATGTGGCTTGTATTTCCATAAAACTATGACTGAAAAAAGAACTTGGGCCCAGCCTGTAGTTCATTAGTGAAGAACTGTCCTGGCGTGTGTTCAAACCTCAATTTGATTCTCAGACAGAAAAGAAAAACTTGTTGTAATATTAAGAAATGTATGCCAAGCACCACACAAGTGCTCATAAATGCTCTGAATTTCTTCTTAAAACTAAGCAGTTGGAGCCTTAAAGAATAGTCCTTCTCAGTGTGTGCATTGTGGCTTTTGTCATTAACTAGTGCTTGCCCTACCCTAATGGGAAAGCAAGCCCAGGGCTGCCACCAGGCCTGGCAAGAGAGGGAACCGTATTTGCCTCTGCTGCCAAGAGACACATGTTCAGCATTCACCTCCAACAGTAACAAAAGCAAGGACATTTTTATTAATCTTTAAAAATGTAACATAAAATTGTAGTTAGAGGAACCTGAAGTTTTTTACCAGAACTCTAACAACCCACAGAAGTAGCAGTAGGGAAGGAGATTTAGTTTAATTAGTTTTCTGTGATTTCTGATGGTTTACTAAACTCATCTGATAGAAGCTAAATATTTTTTGAGAGGTCCAGGAAGCTGCTAGGGGTTTGGTTCTCTGACAGCAGTGCAGCATAGATCAGGGATCTGAGGGTCCTTGTGCCACCCCAAGTCATAAGGGAGTGCTTTGGAAGGAATGGAGTGCTAATACTGACACGAGCCAACAGGCAGGAAGCAAGAAGGCTGTGCATTCATTACAAACAGCATGTTTATCTGCATAAACAGCAGCTAGTTCCCCTCTTGAGGATTACAGTGGGTTTCACTCAGTTCAAAGAATTTCATCAAACCTTCTTGTCAAGAGTACCTACCTACATCCAGCATTTCCAGGGGGAAATGGAATCTTGTAGTACAGTTTTCTCAAATGGATTATGGGGCGCATAAATTCTGGCCACAGTTACTTGTGTACTTTGCATTTGCCAGAGTTGGGTAATCAGGCAGCCAGATGAAACCCTGGAAATTCTGATGAGTGGGATGGACCCAGCAGTTATGGACCCGTTCTACGTGAAAGATGGTGTTATTGAAAAGGAAGCCACGCATGAGAGGAATCTGTGACCTGATACCAGGTTCTGTCCTTCCTTAATATCACATTGTTCAATACTTATGGGTATTTGGTGGATAGAATGAATTAGACTTAGATCACCCAGAAGCAGAATTTTCTCAAGTTAGCCTTGAAACAAGCTTCAGTTAGACTTTGTAGGATGACCTGATCAGACGTTATGAAAGTCTAAGTCAGGAAAATGTGTGACCATCTTGTTTGTGTATGTTTGGTTTGAGTTTTTCAAGGCAGTGGTTTCTCTGTGTAGCCCTGGCTGTCCTGGAACTCATTCTGTAGCCCAGGCTGGGTTCAAATCAGAGATCCACCTGCCTCTGCCTCCCGAGTGCTAGGATCAAAGGCCGCTCGCTGCCCAGCGTCAGTGCTCTCCTGCATGGTGTATCTCTGCAGGCAGCAATGGCCTCACAAAACACAGGTCTACTCTTACTAGGCATTGGCCTCAGTCTAACCACCCGCGATTGTTCTAGTCAGTTCTGCTAGAGTTGTCCATCCAGTTACCTCTGCGTTGTCTGACTTTTCCTGGGAAGACTTGAATAGATGTGATGACAGAATAGAGACACTCTTCTGATAATTGATTGTCTTTAGGAAGACCCATTTTCAGTTGCTTCTGATCAGGCTGATAGATTTCATTATTAATTTATACCTTTTTATTAATGAGACAATATCTACTTTGGAAGTTAATTGGCTTTTTTAAGTAATATATATTGCTATGAATTAAAGGATAATAAATCAAATAGGGTGTTATTTCAGAATTGATGCAACATATTTGTGCTTTGAGGTGCAATTTTGAGAGTTTGAGAAGCAAAAGCCTATTTCACAGTTGTATTTTGTATCTCTTTGTTTGTTTTTGGTACATAGGCTACTGCTTACCCGCTTCTCTTAAGACATAGTCTCACTTTATAGCCCAGATTAGCCTTAGATTTACAATCCTCCTGCCTCATCTCCCAGAGATTACGATTATAGGCGTGTACTGTCACACCCAGTAGTACACCAGATTCTTGTGCATATTTTATTTTTAAAGATTTAATCCGGGCAGTGGTGGTGCATGACTTTATTCTCAGCAGTCAGGAGAAAGAAGCAGACCGATCTCTGAATTTGAGGCCTACCTGTTCTACAGATTGAGTTCCAGGATAGTCAGGGCTACACAGAGAAACTCCGTCAAAACAAAAAACAAAAAACAAAAAAAACAAAAAAAAAAAGCCAGGCGGCAGTGGAACACGCCTTTAATCCCAGAACTTGGGAGGCAGAGCCAGGCAGATCTCTGTGAGTTCGAGGCCAGCCTGGTCTACAGAGTGAGATCTAGGACAGGCACCAAAACTACACAGAGGAAGGCAGTCTCAAAAAAAAAAAAAAAAAAACCAAAAAAAAAAAAAAGATTAAAATGAGGATCTGGAGAGTTGGCTTAGCAGCTAAGAGTACCTGTTGTTCTAGGAGAGATTCTGGGTTCAGCTCCCAGCACCCACATATTGATTTCCAGCAGTTCCAGAATGGGTAGGCATCACACACACACACTTGGTACACATATACACGTGCAGGGACAAAACTGATACATAAAATACGTCTTAAAAAAATTAAAGATTTGATCTGGAGAGATGGCTCAGAGGTTAAGAGCACTGGCTGCTCTTCTAGAGGTCCTGAGTTCAATTCCCAGCAACCACATGGTGGCTCACAACCATCTGTAATGAGATCTGGTGCCCTCTTCTGGCCTGCAGTCATACATGCTGTATACATAATAAATAAATAAATCTTTAAAAAAAAAAATTAAAGATTTAAGCCGGGCGGTGGTGGCTCACGCCTTTAATCCCAGCACTTGGGAGGCAGAGGCAGGTGGATCTCTGTGAGTTCGAGGCCAGCCTGGTCTACAGAGCAAGACCCAGGAAAGGCGCAAAGCTACACAGAGAAACCCTGTCTTGAAAAACCAAAAAATTAAAGATTTAAATGCTATTAAGATACAGAAAGTGATCAAAACTGATATAAAATCAGTTAAGTTTTTTTGTTGTTGTTTTGTTTTTGTTTTTGTTTTGTTTTAAATCATCCTGAGGAGGAATATTGAGAGGGGTGGAATACTACAGATTGAACTCCGGGACCTCATACCTGCCGAATGTTTGCTCCACCACTGAGTGATACACTCTCAAGCCAGGCAAATTGTTATTTAGGAGTATAAGGATGGGCTGTGTATGTATAGGGTGAGACACAAATGGCACTTAGCAGGAAATCATTATATCGTGAAGAGCAATTCATCTTTGTATACTAATCTCTAACATTAAATGATAGGTTCTTCAAATTTAGAGTAATCCTTTAAAAATGAATTTGAAAACCAAAGCAAAGTCCAAGAGTACTGTTTTTGGCTCCTTGTTGGCCAGCTGTGAGCTTTGATGGTGTTGGTTGACCTTGAGTCTCTGCTTAGCACCCTGTTCCAGGCTTTTGAATGGAAGAGTCCAGTAGCCTAGAAGGAAGACACTTGCATAACCATGCTCAGTAACTGCCTCTGAACATCTGCCTCTGCCTCTGCAGGCGCTGATAGACTATCTTCGCACACATTCTCACAGTGCTGTGTACGCCACGTCGATGTCACCACCTGTGGTGGAGCAGATCATCACCTCCATGAAGTGCATCATGGGACAGGATGGCACCAGCCTTGGTAGGTCTTTTTTGGACAGCATTTCCTTGGCTTAGTAAAAACTTAGCAGCCAATTGTGCTCTTTTGGTTGAGGTTTTTCCTTAATGAGGAGTCCAGTGGGCCACTGTGAGGCTTTGGTTTCCATAGCCGCTTTCCAGTGATTATGATACACACACCTTGAGCCACATACTAGCCCCTCCTGTGGAATTTTGTTTGTTTATTTTTTTATTTTGAGACAAGGTTTCTCTTTGTAGCCCTGCCTGTCTTGGAGCTCTAAGTAGACCAAGCTGGCCTTGCACTCACAGCCTCTGCCTCCCAAGTGCCGGGAGTAAAGGTGTGTGCCACTGCCACTACGTCTGATTTACACATGATGAGACTTACCTTGCTGTTCACCTGTGCTTTTTAATTTAGGACATTTGCCTTCGAGGTGTTTCTTAATCACATCTTTTTATGTGGAAATGTAATTGACTACATAGTGATGTGTGTATCATCAATAGCATTGTTTCCAGAGTTAATGTCCTTGATTTAAAACCTTTTTAAAGTTTCTAATTTAATGAACAATACATAATGAAGTTCATCTTAAATCTATTTTTGTCATTGGTGGTAATGTGCTTTCAAAAGAGATGTAATTACTTAAACATATCTTAAATGAGCAACAAAAGATGTTACCTTGTTTATTAATTTGTATCACCAGAGGGCAGTGTTGTCTAGTTACTATGAAAGGAGGGTAATTTGTATTTAAAGGTCTTTTCAGGGATGGGACATTGTGACACAAATCTGTAACTCTGGCACTTGGGAAGTGGAGACAAGAAGATTAATTTTCCAAGGTCATCCTCAGGTGTGTCTCTTGAGGCCTAGCCCGTAAACAAAAACAAAGAAAATAACAACGGTTTTCTACCAGCAGTATGGCAGGAACCTAATTGAACTTGCTCTCTTGCTGCTTCTGAGGTGGTGTGGCTCGGGCAGATTTCACATCCTCAGCCGTGGGCTCTCTACTCGGTAATACATGGTACTATAGATGGGCTGCAGCCTGCGTTGGAGACAGTTAAGACTTTTCGGAAACCAAAACTGACTTTATACTTGTGCCCATCTGTTAGTCATCCTGTTATCTCTATGGAGAGACTTTTGGAAATAGTGTTGTCAGCTTCAGTTTTATGAATTTGCCTGTTCAAGAAGAAAGGTTATTAATTTTGCTCAACAGTGTCTGGGACCAGCTTAGAAGATCCCAGTGCTAGGAAGACCGAGCTGGTTGGGAACTGGGGTCATCTGTCAGCTTCTTCACTGACTGTTGGAAGGCTTGCCATACTTGCTGCGGTAACTTGAAAATTTTAAGTGAATCAAAACCTACTGTTGTTAGCCTTTCTTGCACATCATGAGAGTTGTCAGCTGGGCATTATGAGGAGGAGACTATGGCAAGCATATGAGCCATATTTCAGCCCTTCCTCAGTTGAGACTTGGCACCTGTGTGCTTAAGTTGTTTAAATGTGTTGTGCCGTATTATTATTACACTGCTCAGCATGCCTTGTGGCATGTAGAAAGGCCCATGAAGATGCAGGGGAGGGCGCCTTGGTGCAAAGGCAGCCTTTACATTCAAAGGAAATAACACACTAAGGCCTGTTGACCTAGTGCTTGCACAAGTGGGAAGAGTGTACATTGTAGAGTGCCATTCGAAATCCTTGATCAAGTATTCTCAGTTTTGTATGGTTTACAGCAGGTAGACAGTTACGTGGGTATTTAATAGTATTTAAATAATTGCAGGGTTGGGAAGTTTGGCATGAATCAGGACACAGTGTACTTCTTTTTACTCTTCTTTTTTTTTTTTTTTTTTTTTTTTTTTTTTGAGACAGGGTTTCTCTGTGTAGCTTTGCGCCTTTCCTGGAACTCGCTTTGGAGACCAGGCTGGCCTCGAACTCACAGAGATCCGCCTGGCTCTGCCTCCCGAGTGCTGGGATTAAAGGCGTGCACCACCACCGCCCGGCAATTTTTCCTATTTTCAATAATGTCATGTAGGTTCTGCTGCCTGAAATTTTACATTCTATTATACTTGTAGGAATAGACCAGATTCTAAGAATGAGGACTGTCTGTATGATTTGTGTTTTTAAATGTTACATAAATGAGTCATGTTGAGTGTGAGGTTCCCATTCGCTTATTTTCACTTTTACAGTGTTAGAGCAGCCTTCTTGTTCACTCTGCTGATGGATGTTTAGGTTATTAGCAGCAATTCTGAGGAGGCACTAGAACTGCAGAGTGATCTTTGCTTGTTTCCACGTGTGTTTGTAAGGTTAGCCTGGATACCTTGCAGTGAGGTTGGCAGACATCTTTAGAGGCTTCTAAATTCTTTCTCTAGCCAAGCATACTAGCAAATGCCAGTGATCCCAGACTTGGAAGGCTAAGGCAGGAGGATTGCTGCCAGTTCAAGGCCAACCTGAGTTACAGAATGAAGCTGTTTCAAAAACAAAACAGTTAAAAAAAAATGTTATTTCCCCAGGACTTCAGTATACTCTCCCACCACTGCTACTGTATTTAATAAAGAACCAAGAGTCTGCCATAAGTTTATAAACAGATTCTGACATTTATGTTTTTAAGCTTATGAAGATGAGTAGGCAAAAGAGGGATTAGAAATAGTAATATCAAACCTGGTGGTGGTGGTGCACCTTTAATCCCAGCACTCGGGAGGCAGAGGCAGGCGGATCTCTGTGAGTTCAAGGCCAGCCTGATCTACAAGGGGAGTTCCAGGACAGCCAAGCCTGTTGCATAGAGAAACCCTGTCTTGAAAAACCAAAAAGAAAGAAAGAGTAGTATCATGCAAATTGGTGGTGATTCACGGAGGAAATGTTCTAAAAAGATGAAGGCCTTTCCCAGACTCTACCAAGGGATGATAGGACAAGACAAAGAAAGGCTTAACGTTATGGCACTTACAACCAGAAAAGCTAGATTCAGAACAAAACCCAGTACTGCTTCCTGAGAGTGAGAATGCAGGGGCTGGGGAAGAGTCTTTTTTTTATTTAATAATATTCTATACTATTAAAGTTGCATGTTACTATGTGAATATTATTACTTTCTTAGTAGAGCTTTGAAAGAATTCATTCAGCATAATAAATTCTGCCTAAAGTGAGGTTCAGAGTGCTGCTCAGGAAAGCTGCAGCTGGCCAGGGAGGATGCACCGCCCTTCCCACTTCCCCTTACAATTACCATCATTTTTGTGAATGGAAACTGCTGCCAGTGGCTCTCTTCCAATGGCAGTATCGAGTTAGAACAGACTGGTGGGTAGAAAAAGTGAGACCTAGAGGTTCTGAAAAGTCCACCAGACATTTGGAAAGCTAGCTTGTCCTTCATACATCACTGACCATATTCTGTGGTAGATTTTAGCTCCAAGATCTTTTTATGAATCAAAATAAAATATCCAGAAAGATCAACTAAGACATTAAATTTTTTTTTCTGGAACTTCACTTAGATGTAAAATAATTCAGTGCTTTCTGTACAGTACATTGCTTGTGTAGTTGGATGCTACCAGTATGACCGAATCGTAGATAAAGTAAACTGCATACACACATTCAACAGGTAGCCTTTACAGTGGTTGCAGTAAAAAGCATTACTGTTTGCACTTAGTTTCTATAGACCCTAGGTAAATTCCTTACTGATGTAGAAGAGCCTTGGGAAGGTTGGAGTCTAGTTAAAATTAGGCTTGGCCTGTTTGAATTAATCAAGTAGAAGACTTGCTAATGCAGTGTTAAATGATCCAGGGAACTTTAGGAGTTCTAATTTAGGAGTAGACACTACCCTGTCTTTGAGAAGCATCAGTGTGATCCTGTAGAGAGCTGCATGCTACTCAGGACTGGCAGCTTTTGACCTGCCCCCAACACTGCCTTCCAAGTCCTGGAGTGTCTGCCTTCGCCTTCTCCTCTAGTGTTGTGTTTTAATGGAGGCTGGGGAGAGGAGGTAATGAGCAGGGTGCAGGGATTAGAAAAAGCGGAAAAAGCAGTGTGCATTTTCTGGTGCAGTTTCGTGCTTTCCCAGAACATTGGAGCAGTTCTTCCAGCGCTGAGCTGTGGGCCTGTGATGTAATGCCTAGAGCACTGCTGTCAAGAAACGTTTATCAGGTTCCTGCCTCCTCCGGTGGAGTTGAACAGATGTGCTCCCTGCCTTTGAAAACTGCCCTGCAGCATGGCAGGATAAGATTCCTGGAGGAACTAGTCTCAGAGTCAGAAATGTTCTCCTTTGTTTACCTTGCTCTGTTCTTAGTTCCCTCCGTCCCTCTCTCTAAACAACCTCCTTCCACACCGCATCCCCTGTGAAACCATAAGTTTCCTACAACTCAGTAAAAGTTACTTGAAGCAAACTCAGATCTAACATGCTTAATCAAACTTCAGTGAATTTTTTCCTTGTGGAACCTCTGGCAAATTAGCATAGATGAAAGAAAAAATTCCTTTTATAAATTAGTTGCTTCATTGTCTAACACAAAAGGCCTTTTAACAAATGGCTTAAGCTTTTTAAAATCAGTAAGCATTAAGACCACTTTACAGGTGGGGAAATTTGAGCTCACATTTGGGGCAAGTTCTTTCTGTATCTTGTTTCCAAGTAGGATGTGGCTTTCCTCAGTCCATCTGCTTCTACTTCTGATGATAGTCAGTGTTTTATTAAAACAGGCTGTTTTATGGCCTATTTCTAATTTTCTCATTTTGTTCAGCTAATTTTCCACAAAACACCTGAATTTCCTAGTGAATGGTAGCCTGACAAATGACAGCCACTGGAGCCTGTGGTTGCCTGTCTCTTCTCGGGGACTCAGCAAGCCCTTTCCCCACTGTGCTCAGAAGCTGCTCGGACGCTGAGGAGCTTTTGTGGGAATGTGGTCTGTGAGTGCTGCTTTCTTCCACCATCTCTTCAAAATCCGAATGCAGATACAAGTTTTTTACAGTAAGAACCTTCCTTTTGTGTCTTGTTACAGTCAGTTTGAAGCTGGCTAGTAAGATGCCCACAAGCATCAGGCTGGAAGCTAGACTTTGAACAGATGTATACTTGGC